TTGCTATCCATGATTAGTGTATCACCCATCATGTTATTTGACCCTAGTAATTGTCGTGTCGATCTCTCGTCTCTACTTCTTCGAGATTAGACAGGATACTTACTGGGTACATATTGTTTATGTACTCATACTACGCTTCTGTACTTAATTGTACATGTTCTGAGGCAGGTACATCTGACTATCAGACCGGTGCGCATCACTGATCTTGGTCCGAGACTTCCACGGTGAGCTGTTTTCCCTTCCTGTGCCGATCAGCAACTGATGGAGTTTCCCTTCTACTTTTGGCTGTCTATTCTGTTTCAGACAGTAGGATAGATCTATTATTTTGTATATTCTACTAGTTGCTCATAGCTTGTGACACCAGGTCTTGGCACACACTTAGTAGACAGTTCTTCTTTTGGGGTTGTATAACTATTTCTAAATGTTGATTTTTTTTATCGCATGATTAAACTCCTATTTAAGAAAAATGTTCCAATTATTTTGGCAAGTAAAATGAGAATTTTATTAATATTTCCGCTTTGGCTTGCCCGACAACGGTGTTGGGCGCCATCACGACTTGAGGTGAAATTGGGTCGTGACAACATGGTATCAGAGCACTAGGTTCACGTAGGTCTCACAAGTCATGGGCAAACCAAGTAGAGTCTTGCGGATCGGTACGGAGACGTCTGTATTTATCTTCGAGAGGCTATAGGGTGTAAGGAAACTACTCTTTCTTCAAATCCTATCGTGCAGTGGTTAGTGTACTAAATTTTCCTCTTCTATTCTCTCACGGATGGTGAGGACACGCACGACCGATGTTCCAGACCCGGGAGGAGCTGCTCCCCCCGTTGCTAGAGGCCGAGGCAGAGGCCGGGGGGGGCACCGGCCCGAGGTAGGGGACGAGGGCTTCCCAGAGTTGTTCCAGTAGCACCACCAGCGGATCCGGCAGGGGATCCTATCACCGAGGAGTAGGGTGAGGTGCCCTCAGCTGAGCCTACCCCGGCACACTTCATGACAACACCGGGTTTCCAAGAGGTCATGGGCCGTATGCTGCGGTTCATGGATACTATGACTCGGGCTGGTTTATTTCTAGCGGATCCGGCTATATCACAGGCAGGAGGGGGAGCACAGACCCATACTGCTCAGGCTCCTGGGCATGCAGCTGCAGTGTATCAGACTCCGGGTNCTAAAGCATGCTTTATGTGATGTTCTTGTGACTCTATGATTAATTCGAGACTTCTTTAATCTTGTTGAATATGGTAAGCGGATCTAATAAGTGGAACACTATATTCTGGCCTTAAAAAGGAGAAACTGATATTTTGTGAGTACTTGTTCTCCTGATGTTTGATCTTATCTGCCTGTTGATGTGTTTAAATACATTTGACCGCGTCGCATGTATGATTCGCGAGCGGGGTAATAGATGCATCTATGGTTCGCGTCGTTCGACCCTCCGGCAGTGCACACTTTATTTTTATGTTGGATCGGACCGTACGACCTCGGCACTGCTTGCGTATGCTTGTTGACTGGTATATTGTTGTGGATGGAACCTTGTTATATGCCTTGAAATGTAGTTGGCTAACTGTGAAATCACCTAGTTAAGGACTTGTTGCTTCATGCTATAAACTGTTATTTATTTTGCTATCCATGATTAGTGTATCACCTATCATGTTATTTGACCCTAGTAAGTGTCATGTCGACCTCTCGTCTCTACTTCTTCGAGATTAGACAGGATACTTACTGGGTACATATTGTTTATGTACTCATACTACGCTTCTGTACTTAATTGTACAGGTTCTGAGGCAGGTACATCTGACTATCAGACCGGTGCGCATTACTGATCTTGGTCCGAGACTTCCACGGTGAGCTGTTTTTCCTTCCTGTGCCGATCAGCAGCTGATGGAGTTTCCCTTATACTTTTGGCTGTCTATTCTGTTTCAGACAGTAGGATAGATCTATTATTTTGTATATTCTACTAGTTGCCTATAGCTTGTGACACCAGGTCTTGGCACACACTTTGTAGACAGTTCTTCTTTTGGGGTTGTATAACTATTTCTAAATGTTGATTTTTTTATCGCATGATTAAACTCCAAGATGGTATTTACAGTAAATGATATCTCATTTTCTTTTATGGTCTTGAAGTAATCTAATGTTTGCATATATTGTTCTCTTAAATAATTAATTATGTTGGTCTACTGTTATGTATCATGTTTTTCTTCTTAAGTTATGAACCTAGTTATTTGTCAGCTTACTAAAGATTGTATCAACATTATTGTTTCTTCCCCCAGATGTCAGGTAATACAGGATCTAAACAAGCTGGGCAAACTAGTGGTAAAGGAGAAAAATTCCGTAAAAGGACGACACACACAATAGAGCCTCAAGCAGCTCAAATGCCTCGCGTAATCCCATCATAATCCCTCCTATCTCAAACTAGTTTACTTCATGTACATGATACTTTCTTGCCTCAACCTACTCCTGAAGTAAATCTGCCTCAATCTAGTATTGGAGCCAATCGACCCCAACCTCATAACACTGGGTCTCAGCCTAAATCTAATCAGTCGCAACCTATAAATACAGTCACTCAACCGCATATGTCTTTACAAGCCAATATGACTCCAGCCACCTCGTGTAGTGCGGTAGGCGATGGCAATGATAATGGCAATGATGATGATCGAATGTGGATTGTACCTGAAGAAGATGGGTAAGTATATTATTTAGTACACATGCTTTGGTTCTTTGATGCTCTAATATGGTATAATATGTTATTAATACTGACTTTTGTTTTGTATGATTGCTTGTAGACCATAGTGAAAGTGCAACTTAGTTCAAATTGTAATCTTTGCATGTTATTTCTTTGACTATGATACTGATACTTTCATTTAACAATAACAAACCAAGTGTAATCTCAAAAGTGGGGTCTGGGAGGGTAGTTTGTACGCAACCTTCCCCATGCCGTGTGAAGGTAGAGAGGTTGTTTCCGATAGACCCTCGAAAACTCGACATGCATATTTTATTTATATCCTATGAAATACATGTCAATCTAATCCCGATCTATGAATATAAAATCAATGTATTAATTTCAATAGTTAAAATTTGCCCCGATGCATATTCCAAGTGCACATTTTTTACTGCATTCAAAAACTAAGCAATTCTTCTTTTTTTTTGGTCGAACGAAAAAACTTTTATATATCACTTGTCAAGATACATATCAAATACAATTAGGCTACTCTCTAATTGTCCTTCCTATCATTTATTTACATCAAATCTAAACATTTTCTCTATAAATGTTTTCTATCCATTTTTTCTCACTACTCGTATGGCTTCTTCTAATTGCTTCCACTTCTCTTTGCTTGCAATCTTGCTTAATCTGTTTGTATAGCTGCCTAGGTTGTATCACCTTGTGCTCCCATAATGCTGAATTCCTTGCTTTCCATATGTGATACACGATTGTTGCTAGTGCAGATAGTATCACAGCCCTACATGTTTTCCCTTTGACATTCCTGGTCATTCTTCTCCCCAGCCCTTGCAGCTCCAGGTTTCTGATATCAATATTTAACCACCTCAGTATGTCTTGTATGCATCTCCTCGCCAGTGGACATTCAAAGAACAGGTGAGTAGTTGTTTCTTCTGCAGTTCCACATATCTCGCAAAGACTGTCTTGGCTGATGCCCATTCTTTTCAACCTTTCTTTCATCATAAGTCTGTTATGTGCCACCAACCAGCAAATTATACTGTGTTTTGGCATGTTCAATTTATTCCATACCCATCCTCGCCAAGGCCAGTCCTCCTTAGTCCCTTTCTTCCAGTCATAACCACTCTTAATAGTATACTCTCCATTAGCTTTTAGCCAGTGATTTTGTATGTATCCTCCAGCAAATTTATCTCTTATGGAGCAGATTTTCCTCTAGTACCAGCTGCAATCTGTAGGGACCTTGTATTGCCACCAATCTCTTCCTTTTAAGTAGATATGATTTACCCATCTCACCCACAAATTGTCAGTTTTAGATGTTATGTTCTATACATATTTTGCTATGGCTGCTTCATTCCAAACTGCAGTGTCCTTCACCCCCAAGCCTCCTTGCCTTTTTGATCTGCAAACCAAGTCCCATGCTACAAGAGATGGTTTGTTTGAATAGACTTTCCCATCCCATAGAAAACTTCTACATATCCCTATGATATTCTTGATCACTTTCTTAGGCAGAACAAAGATGGATGCCCAGTATGTATGTATGTGCATTAAGACAGCATTCACCAAGAGGACTCTCCCTGCATATGATAAATTTCTTGACCCCCAGCTTTTAATCTTCATTGTCATCTTGTCCACCAGGACTTCACAATCCATTGCTGCCAGCTTCTTTGGTGAGATAGGTACCTCAAGATACCTAAATGGTAGTGATCCCCTCTTATAGCCTGTTAGTTCACATAGATTCTGCAGACTTTGATCATCCATATTTGCACTGAAGACATTAGACTTAGCAGGATTTGTAGTTAGGCCTGATGCATTTGAGAAACTTTGTAGTCCTCTCAACATTAGAACTATAGCTTGATACTCCCCTTTGCAGAATAGTAATACATCATCTGCAAAGCATAGATAGTTGAGCTGCAGCCCTTTACATTTGGTATGATAATCAAACCACTCTTGAATAGCCACCATTCTCATGATACGAGTAAAATAATCCATACATATCACAAACAGCAGTGGGGATATTGGATCCCCTTGTCCCAGTCCCCTTTTACCTTTTATGCAACCATACATGCCTCCATTGATTGCTAGTGTATATTGAGTAGTTGTGATGCACTTCATTACCCAACTTATGAACTGACTTGGGAAATTCAGTGCATATAGCATTTCTTCCACAAATCCTCATTCTACAGAGTCATAGGCCTTCTTAAGATCAATTTTTATAAGACAGCTCTTTGTAGTGTGCTTCCTGTTATAGAGTCTTACTAAGTCTTGACATATTAGGATGTTCTGAACAATGGATCTCCCTTCTACAAAGGCACTTTGGTTTTCAGAGATGATTTTAGGCAGTACCCTCTTTAGTCTTTGGCAAAGCATTTTTGATATCACCTTGTATATTGTATTGCAACAAGCTATTGGTCTGTAGTCTACACACATGATATCTATCATCCTTACTAGTGCCTAGTAGGGATGTATAGAATTCTATGAAAGTGGTAGCAACTTTTTCCATGTCTGTGACATTAACTCCATCAGCATCCTTTATAGAGAAGATTCTGTTGTTGTTTCTCCTTGCCTTAATGTTGTTGTGGAAGTATCTTGTGTTATGATCCCCTTGTTCTGCCCAAAGAATTTTACTCTTCTGCCTTAGATACCGATATCTAGCTTCTTCCCATCTGCTATATGCCCTTGCCAGTTCCTTCTCATGTTTATGTAGCTCATGATCTCTAGGATTTGCCTGGATTCTAGCTTGACATTCTGTAAGTTCCTGCTTTGCTTGGTCTGCTTTCTTTTCCACTTCACTAAATCTGTTCTTATTGATCTTCCCTAATACTCTTTTTAGTCTATTCAGCTTCCCCACTAGTTGGTATTGCTTGCAACCTGTTATCTTTACTTGCCAGCTTTCCTCTACTTTCTCTGAGAATTCTGGTGCCATACTCCATATATTAAAGTATTTGAACTGCTTCTCTTTCTTGTTCCCTCCTTTTTCCCAGCTGATAATTGCAGGACAATGATCATACAACCCTTCTTCTATATAATGGACTGTTGAAGCAGGGAGATTTGTTACCCAGTCACTGTTAACTAGTACTCTATCTATCTTACTCATTACCTTATCCTCCCCTTCTTGTTTGTTATTCCAGGTGAAATAAGCACCAGTGGACTTTAGATCATGTAGGTCACAAGTCTCTACACAGCTCTTAAAGTCCCTTATTTCAGTTACTGTGACAGGACTCCCTATCCTTTCCTCCTTATGTAGTACACAGTTGAAATCCCCCATTACACTCCATGGCCCTTGAACTTGGCTATAGAGTTTCCTTATCTCCTCCCATAGGTTTCTTCTAAGTGCCTGATCATCAAATCCATACACCACAGTTATGTGCATCATCTCATTCCTTCCTCCATGCTTAACTTGACAGTGAATTATTTGTGCAGTTACTGTTATTATATCAACCTCATAGATGTGAGGTTTCCATAACAACCAAATCCTACCCCTAGGATGCTTATGCAGATTTGTACTGAATGACCACCCAGTACAAAGATTAAGAGAGGCTTGTTGAGCCTTTGTTCTCTTAATCTTTGTCTCCAGGATCTCAAATAGTCCAGCCTTAACATTGTGCAGAAATAGGTTGACTTCTTTCTGCTTAGCTGTCCTATTTAGGCCCCTTACATTCCAGCATCCAATATTATCCATTAGGTAGGGGGTTGCCCCCACCCTTTTCAGTGTCATGACCCTTACTAGCTTGCTTATCTCCAGGGCTAGATGAGCTTGCTTCACTTCCCTTTCCTTCTGCATTTTCATCTCTGCTCTTTGTTAATACTGCATAAGAGTTCCCTAGTGACAGAGTCATCTCCCTTGCATTAATGAATGTATTGCTTTTTCCTTTCTTCTTTTGTTGCACCATCACCTCTATCTCCTTTTCTTTGTTCTTTCATTTCCTGCTTTATCTGTGCTCTCCTTACTCTGCTCCCCCTTATCCTCCATTTTCTGTTCATCTTGCTTTTGGTTTGGTTGCTCCTTTACTGCCTCCTTCTTCACATTTCTCATGCAGTCTTCTTGTTCATGTCCAAAATTATTGCATGTAGGACAATGCACTGGTTTCCATTCATACATTACTTGTTGCTCTATGATCTTCCCATATTCATTTTCAAACATGATCATTGAAGGATACTGTTGGTTAATTGATACCTCAACAAGTATCCTAGCAAATGTGAGCCTTTCCTTCTGTGATGTAGCACTATCTGCCTTCAATGGTTTCCCCACCATGCCTGCGATTTTTGTTAAGGCACTCCTCCCCCAGTATTTGATGTCCAATCCAATGAGTCTGATCCATATCGGAATCCTGTCAATAGTCTCCTTCTTCATATCAATATCCTGCTTCCAAGGCTTGATCACTATTGGCTTTTTATCGAACATTTGGACTCCTTCCTCAACTATTCTATTTTTGGCTTCTTCTGATTGAAATCTAACGAGGAACACACCTTTATTCACTACTACAACTTTATCAATACCTCTGTTTCCCCAGATTCTTTTGAAGTATCCTTCCATGACTGCTAGTGGGGGATTAGATCCCAGGACATAGCAGATCACTGCTGTTTTCCAGTATTCGACCTCTTCCTGGATGTCTTCAATGGTGATCTTCACATTTTGCTGTGTCAATTCCACACTACTCAATTCAAATCCTTCAGTTTGAGGAATTGGCCCCACTACCTTACTCCATGAGTTACCAGTTTTTTGCACTTCCCCTGCCTCTGTTTCCGCCATTGCTTCTTCTTCAACCATATTGGCCCATGAACTCTTCCCACTGCTTTGCATGTTACTGTTCCCACTTCTATTTGTCAATTTGCACTGATTTGGTGTTTGATCCATTGTTCCCTTCGCTAGATCCAGCGGAATGATTCCTTGTAGCACATTTATACTCTTTGTTTTTTTCGCGTCTGCAGATTGTGGTACATTTTGTTTTCCTCCATTAGTGATGTTGTTCTGCCATTGTTTCTCACCTGCTCCAGCTTTCGATTTCCTTCCCATGGTCAATTTTCACTGAGAGGAAATTTTCATTCTAGAGAGAGAAAAAACAAAGTCCTAAAACTAAGCAATTCTTCCATCCTAAAGTTATATTTGATCATCTTAGTGATGTCACAAAGAATCTGTTGCTTTTTAGAAAGAATCTGTTTCTAATTGTTTAACCTTTTTTTGTTCTAAACCTCATGAATTAATGAGTAACATTTTGTACTTGGACATTAAGAAACAAACTAAAGATTTTTTTTTGTGAACAGTTGTTATTTCTCTGTTGTGAGTAGTGCAAATTTTATAGTTCTTGCTGAGGTAACTGATATCAGTTGTAGCCCATGAAAGATTGCTAAAGTTGTTCTGAGGAAATTGAATACTTAGCTGTTAGCAACAGTAATGGACAGTGATCAACTAAGTTAGTAGGCTATTTTCATGAATCTCCTGAAAAGAAATGAGTTCTCTTGTTTCTGGTTTAGCTTAAAGGTGAGTCTGCTTCTTGTAAATTATGTGATTGGATTGAGGACTTGCAACTCTTTTTTTTGGTAATCTTTCAGAAAAACACTAATCATTATGATGTCTTGACAATGTGTTCATTTATTGAGCCATTATCAAAGATTTGTATTTGTGTAACTTGATTACTCCTTTATAATTCTTTTTGCCTTTCAGAATTGGCGGCCCTTTGAAATTAGTCGCCAGATAAAAACTAGTGAACTATTATGTCTATCCCACTCTATGTGGCTTCTTTTGCTATGTATAAACAGCAAGCTGCCCCAAGTTCCCACTTCAATAATCAAGCTGAAGGGATTAATTTCACAAATTTTTTGAATATTATCGCTTTACTTTCGACTATGTGAAATATTTTAGGGATGCATGGCCACTGAAATTGTTGATTATCACAAAGTAGGGCAAAAGTTTGTATTACATTTCAGCTACCAAACTTATGTAATAGAAGATATTTTCAGTCTTTCATGACACCTAAAATCTAGTTTAGTGATGTTAGTTATATGCAACAAATGAGTCAATGACCTTCCAAATTTTTCTGGAGATCTTCTTTTATCTTGTTTAACTGTTCCTTCCTCTTTATTTGGGGAGATCATCTTGTTTAACTGCTGACGTGTGTTGGTTTGGGGAGATCATCTCCCCCCCCCCCCCCAAATGCCAATATAAGTAGAGGCCAACACCATTTAGAAATTTCAGTACTCAGTTTTCTAGCTTGAAGTGGTAGTAAACTCGTCAAGTGTTCGAGCCTTGTAATAGTATAAATTTAACGATTTACAGAGAATGGTTTTGATAGATTTGATGTGATTAATTGATGGGAATCGATTGAATGGAATGATGAGTGAAACTACCTTGTTAATTTATAAATGATTGATAGCTACTGCATTTTTATGTAGGTTTGATCCTCATAAGCCAGTTATTGAAGGCATTGCTAGTTGCATTCATAGTAAATTTGAGCTGGCTAAACCTTCTTGGAAGAAATTCCCACAACCTACTCGGGATATGTGGTTTGAAGAATTCAAGGTAAGGATGTTTATAATATGATTCATGTTCAAAAGTTGGTGTGTAAGTTTATAAGACTGATTCACATTTTATTTTGATATGTGCTGTGTTATAAAATGCTACAGAAAAAATTTAGATGGCTCCCTCACTATAATGATGTTATACGACACAATTTTGAGTAAAGGGCATCTTCAAGAATGACCCAATTTTTCCAAGATGTTAGAAAGGACTTGTCTGTGAAGCCAAATTGGATGGGTGATGCCGTATTCAAGGAGATGAAGGAGCATTGGGAGTCTTCTCAATTTAAGTTAAAGTCGGAACAAAACAAAAAGAATCGCGATGCAAATGCAGGTGTCTCGGTTCATACAGGCGGTTGTATACCTCATCGCGTAATTTGGAAGAGATTGGTAATAAGTAGTTCCATTTTAATTTTTTCGTTCTAGTAAATGGATCATATAAATGTTGATAGCATACACATCTTTCTTTAATTACAGAAGGAAGCTACTGGAAAAGATCCTTCATTTCCAGAATTTTATTTTCGCACTCATCGAAAGGAGAAAGATAAAAGTTGGGTAAATGAGAAAGCTGAAGCTGCTTATGTAAGTCTTCATTCTACAACATACATACATACATACATACATACAT